TTTATTCTTCAAAAATGCAAACTAGAGTGAAGCCCTCCCTGAATTTCCTACAAGACACTGTGGAGTCCAGAGGCCCATGGGTGGGGTTTTCTGTCCCTTACCAAGTGAGCTGTGGTGCAGTTATTTTGTGAACAGTTGCTTTAACTTTCTTTCGTATCCGTGTAGTTAAGAAGCATCAGTTTGTGTTTTGACTGCTGTTGAAAAGTTAGTGTTGAACAGCTTCTGAGTGCTTCCCGGGCAGGATCAGATCCTTGACAGTAATTTCTAATTAGATGGAAATGTGTTCCACTTTGTGGTGTTTTGTTGCACATAGGTGAGGAGATTCGTGTGCCTGGGAACAAGGCAGCTGCTGGGAGAAGCAGGAGCTTTGCTGAAATGTAGCAGGTAGATGCTGAGTTTGAGCTGAAACTCCTCTTCTTTGCCTTGAATTTTGGATGTGGCTTGCTCTCAGTCCAGCCCGTGCAGTGGTGATCCCTGGTGATCCCTTCTGTCCTGTTACTGGGCCTGTTTGGGGCCTCAGGAAGTAAAACATTGTGTGGATATTGGAAGCTGCCTGGAGTTGGCTTTGTAGTAAAACTGAGTTGGGGTCTCCTGGCATGGAGGGAGGCAACGAGGCATCAGAAATACCCTACAAACATAGCTACTAGCTTCTGTGTAGGTTAATGTTGGGGTGTGTGCCAGGAACTTGGCTGCTTAAAAACCCTATTTAGCAAAGTGAGTAGGGTTTTGCATATTAAGGAATGTGTTTATACCTGTGGGTACTTAAATACCTAGCTATCTTTCCTAATGATTTCCTCCTCCTGTGTTAAGCAAACTGCTTATTCCATCCAAGCGAGTTTGCTTCTGGTGTTGCTCACCTTGTGAGGAAGAGCTCTGCAGAACAAGTTGGTATCTCAGGTGGTTATCTCACTTCAAGAAAAGAGTTAAATAAAATTGGCACTTTTTGCACTAACACAGTATTGAAGGAAATACCTTTCTGACTAGTGCTCAAATCATACTTTGAAACAGAAGAGTCAATGGTCTGCATTAGCCATTAGGTGCTTAAAAATACCCAAACCCAACACCAACTCATGTAAGTACTGATAAATGAAGTAGTTGGGATGCAGTACCCTGAAAAGTCCTGGCACTGTAGGACTGGAGAGTGAGGTGGTGACTAAATGCAAAAATAGCTTATTGACTTCCTTCTAGTCACCACTGTATCCTTCTTGGTTTCACTCCACTTCTTTTTTCCTTTTTTTTTTTTTCCCCTTTTTTTTGTATTAGTTGATCAAAGAGTTGATCTGGATTATGAGATTTATACTAAAAAGTAGGAAGGGATACTTACCCAAGGCACTAAGTACTTGCACTGAAAGCTGCACAGAGGAAATGATGCTGCTCACAGAGCACCTTGTGTGTTTGCTTTAGTTTTGCACTGGATGATTCTTTGCTCTTGGATTATTCCCAACTACTTCTGTGTCTTTTCTGTCTTTTAGGTGCTCTTTCCTACAGTTCCCACTGCTAAACTTCTCCTTTAAAAATTACCTCATGATTCTTCCTCCTTCTTTGCCTCCCTCCCTTTTTACGTATCAAGTTAGGGAACTTCAGCAAAGATCCCCGAGGTAAAAAGCCCAAAACCAACAAGAAAGTTTTGGGGGAACCATTATTCAGGGCAATTCCCAGTGTGATACACTTGCAGTTCTTTAATCCTCTTTTTTGTTTTTGAAGGTGCTTTTTGTGCTGGTTTTTGGCTAGATGCACAGGGGCAGTCTTTTGCTTAGGTTACTTTTGTGACTCTCTTTTAAGTGGAAGCTTAAGATCTTGTAGGAGTTGGTGGCACTTGGGCAGGTAAGTGTCACACTTGCCACAGGCATTTGGATTTTTTGGGGTTGCTTTTTAATCCTCACTGCTAGAGTAGATGATGTGTCTGTAGGTCTATTTTTATTTTTTTCATGTCACCAGACTTCTCAAGCCTGGTACCCTGTAAGGCACTTCTTTTTTCAGTGGCTAACTCTTCTGTGTTCCTGCTGCCTTCTGCAAGGCAGAAGCGTGGGGAGTGTTGGGTCTGTTCTTCTCTTGGTGCAAGAGGCAGAACAAAGATCAAAACCAGGGGAACGATACGAGCAACTTTTTCTGTACCACAACGGAGAGAGAGGGTGGAGAGATGGGCACATAGGCAGAATTGGAAGTTATGGGGAAGTGAGTAAGTGAAATGCAAGGAAGTACTGGTGCAAGTGAGCATTTCGGACTAGGGCATGCACCTAGTGCCCTGCTGGGAAGGTGCATCCTGTTGTACTAGCACATTGTTACCAGCTGGAATAGTGTATTTTGAGCTGTGTAGCTTTTACAGGTGTGGCAAATGAAGCTTTTACCTACCTACTGGTAAGGATTTGGGTCTTTGTGGGATGCCTGTCAAAAGTTTTTATATTTTATGAGACAAACTGCTCCACTCGGTCCCTTTGTGCATGCTGCTCTTTCACTTGAGGGTGGCATTGGTGTTTGAAGGCGTTTGATTGGCGTTTGGAGGCGTTGAAGGAAGGTGTTTGATTCCCTTGAGTTGGGTGGGAATGGGACTCAAATATCTTACTCTTGAATGTAATTCCTCTGTAACCTTAGACAAATATTTTGGTTTGGAGGAGAATCACTATATCCCCATTTAAAGTGTGTGGATGGTGAGTGTCACAGAAACATGAACCAAAACTTTGTGGTGTTAATTAGAACAAACAATGTTGTTGAAATTGTTTTACATCTTCATATATTGTTTTTTTTTTACTAGTGGATTCTTCAAAGCACTGCTGTTGAAGCATAGTCAGAAGTTGTTAACAGTCTTAAAACTTGTGTGTTAAACTCTTTCTTTAACTTACACAAGAGCTAAAGCATTTTTCCTGTGTCAGAATATATTTCCTCTATATCAAAATATTTCTTGTTCAAAAGGGCAGTGTTGTAAAAGTGCAGTTATTTTAACTGCTGCTTGTAATTATGGAGGTTTTTGTATTAAGTTACTGGTTAGATTTTAATTTTTGCCTCCATTTCTTTCCGTTCCCGAACACAGGACATCTGATGAACCTTTTGGATCTTCTTACCAGAGACCATTCTTCTCTGGTCATTAAATCATGCATTATCCAGCTGTGAAACATCGGGACGTTCATTTTTGCTGACAGGAAACATTTTCAAATATTGGTAAGTT